ATAGAACTATTTAAACTATAGAATTAGAAACTGCAGAACTATTAGGTGGAAATGCTTACACTGGACATGCAGCCAAATCCTTACAAGAGGAGAAAAAGTTCATATTCTCAGTGAGGACTCTTGGTCCCATCTGAATGGAATCATCATCCTGCTTTTATCAAATCAGARATCTCCATCAAGATTTCCTTTTGGCCAGAGATTAAATAGAGAATTCAACGAGGTTACATTCAGGGGAAATGCATCTTGGAGCAGCAGTGTAATAATTCACAAGAAAACGTGAAGAAAACATGACACAATCATTAATGTTCTCATAAACCAGCACAATATTCCAGAAAATAACAGTCTACATTGAATCATCTGTCTCAAAACAATGTGAAAGGTGGATGTCACTGCCACTGAGATGAAATTGTGACATTTATTTCTGATTAATAAAAAGGGACTGGTACATCACCACAAAATTTAGAATTCTGACTTGGTTTAGGATAGATAACACAGGGTTTGTAAATGAAAAAAGCCAACAAAAATGCTCAGGTCACCCCCGAGGTATCACTTCAAATTCGAGTAAATTKKTTTWAAWATKATTTTTGAAATACCTTACCCCTTAYGTGACCTGCCTTTCCAGCAATCTCTGCCCTTTGCTCACAATGTGCACACAGAAGACTCACCTCAGGATTTCTTTCCTGGTGAAGAATGTGCAGTCCTGTGAAATAAGAAAAGGTTTAACATGAATTGACAGCTTTTAGCATGCACTGGCCCAAACTTTTCCCATGCAGTGACCTAAATGAAGTTATATTTTTGTGTATATGTAAGCATYGAAGATTTCTTTCACAATCAGCACCATTTTACAACCCTTCCTCTTGACATAAAACCCAAACTACGTTACTAAAATCTTCACTGCAATTCAATACTTATTAATTTTTAAATGAAGCTGTTTTAAAAAACCCAACACCACCTCTGCCATTATTCAACGTTCTGTCCAAACAGCCATTTAGTCCTCTTTATACCTGATACGCATCCAGCTGYTCTTGAGTGAAAATGGTTTGCTTGTTGCCCATTTTGAGCAACAACTCTGACTCTTAGTCAGTTCTTTCCTCAAAGGCACCTTTACAGGATATTCAGTTATTAAAAGCTGCAACAATGAGGCTCAGGTGCAGCAGAGGATCAGGTAACCAACTTGCACAGGCTGCAAAGTATCATAATAGGAGCGTTTCATCAAATCTTTAGTCTGGCTGCTTTGAGGCTCTTGTCCAGCAGCATTCACCTGTCTCCCTGTGCACCACGGAGACTCAGGTTACAGGAATTAGCTGAACAGGTAAATAGCTGCTCATTAGTGCCTTTGAGCTGCAGGCAGACTCAGTGGATACTGATTTTTCATACCTTCAGATACAATAAATTAACTGAAAAGTGTGGGTGAATTAACTGAACRGTGTCAGTGGTGTTTTCCTCCTTGAAAAATTAACACCAAACAACAGAAATTTGGTAACCCGTCCTCCTTTCCTTCTCACTTTTTATGGAGTCGCAGAATTGTGATGGAAAAGCCCTTTTAGACCATGGAGTGCAACCATTGCCATGGCCACCACTCTATCATGTCCCCAAGTGCCACATCCACATGTTTTTTGAACATTTGAGTCACCACTGTCCTGGGCAGCCTGTGCCAGTATTTTCCCTTCAAGCACGTTGTTATAACACACTAATGCTAGTGGTAGTTTGTAGTCATAAAATTTGCTCACTCCCTTTCTTTTGCGTCATATCCTGATGTATGTCACTGCTAATTAATGGGTAATTAACTAGGATACAG